ATACATAAAAAAAAGTACATGTGTATGTGTGCGTAAGATAAAAAAACTACGAAAGTCTGGTAAACAGAATTACAATGTTTTAATGCTTGCAGGTGCGCAAATAATTGACTTCTGTATTTACATCAACATCCCCAAGTGTGACTCACCTAGTATTAGAGCAATTTGTATCAGAGCAGCTACAAGGGTCTTGATATTGTTGCCAGCGTAGATCATGAAGTTTACTACAAACAGGTGATAAACAATGCTAAAGGCAAGTCCGACGGCAGAATTAATCAGCCATGGCAGAAGCATCAGATGACGTTCCTGTGCATTAGAGTAAAAGAGATGAGCAGGCGATGATTGCAGACAAAGCAAATATGTAAATAGAGTAAAATTATAACAGAATGCACTCTCACACTCTTTCTCCCTCATTTACCTTCTTGGTGCCAAGTACTAGCAGGGCCGATGACGGTAAGTTCAGCAGAATGAACCCCATGAAAACGCTGCATCCGATGACAATTGCTGCAAAGCAAAGATATATTGTTTGATTTCCGTTAAACATTTTTGCTCGCTCTCTCGCACTTCTGCTTTTGCTTACCCAAATGCATTTGATCATCCCCAGAAGACGTCTTTAAATCAAGAGCCTTAACAATATCATCGTCAAATTTCAAAATTATGCTTAGCAGAATTATACCCAATAAGGAGCCAACAATACCCAACCAGCCGATCACCACGCCGGCGGTATTGAGACTCATGCAGAAGAATCTTTTCAACATTTTTCACTCTTTGTTGTTTACACCAAATTAAAACGAAATTTCTATGGATAATGAAATGCAAAAGTCAAATATTTACATATACGATATGCAAAATGTATGTATGTACATATCAATGATGTCAACTTTGTTTTGGAAAAAAAAAATTTTAATTATACAATATTTGCAGATTATGCAGAACGCCTTATCGTTGCGTCTTCATTTCGGGCTATCCATGACTTGAAATCTGGCTGTTGTAGTCAGAAATCTCGAACTTTTTTTTTGGCATTTAATCACTCTATTCGCATTGAACACAATTATAAACGATATCGATGATACATACAAAGCACATACACAATTCAATTTTTTCTTAACCAAATACCGGTACAACACAACAACTGGAAAAATAACCAACCAACTGGAAAAATATGAACACGATTCGCATTCACGAAAAAAGGACAGATTTCCGGATAGAGATTGTTTGATATTTTTTCCGAACAAAGCCACATAGCCAACAGGACAGATCTGTCCGAAAAAGGACAAATTGGAATCCCTGGCACATATACGTAATTACACGAACCTGAAATTAGAACTGAGTACTCGCTTCGTCTACGTCGAAATTGAGAATGATTTCACGCTTGCAAGTTGCAATGCGGTTTTAAGTTAACTGTTGCTTTGCGGAATTGTGAACTTCACGGAATTGTGAAGGGATGACAGCTTCCACTGTTAAAAGACAGAGTAGGTTGCGCAAAGAGCAGTCCCGTCACTTTTAATGCTAACTAACTCTTGTAACGTCATATTTCCAGATTGTGCTCTGTTATCCTAGCTGAAGCTTGGTAGGCACTTCAGTAGAAATCGGCTAAGTGGTCGAAAATAACAAAAATTAAGTATATATAAGGAAATTTCAATAGTAAATATCTTTAAAATGGTCAATCCCTAATTTATAATAATAATTTATTTCCATACAATAAAGAAATTAAGTATATGATGGAATGAACTGGGAGGCCTCTCGAAAGCAACCAAGGCCAAAACGGCCAAAATATCAGCAGGAATGGTTGGTTGGTTAACTAGATTTTCGCCATCAGTATTGTTTATTCATGTCAATTTACGTACGCGAAAACTTAGCATGATTATGAGTATTGAAACCTAAGGAAACATATAATCAGCCTGAATCAGCTCTAAAAACCTAGGCAGAGGCTAACAATGCTGCGTATCATCTATGGCCATCGGATTTGTAATATAAATAATGAAATTCGTAAATATAATGATGCGGATTGATGGGAAATGCATAATACTTAGTAGTAACTCTTTAGTTTTACAAATTCAAGCCTTAGATAGTAAGGTTAAATCCATTAYATGCAAAAGTAAAAGTGGTCAAGRGATTRCATGATCAATAACTGCTTAGAAAACGGCTTAGAGTATAAAAATTAGCAAAACCCTTTATATTTTCCGATTCGTGAATCTATATAGAACATGTGATTAGCCGTCSAACTYGTTTTATTTAGTSTACTAGTTTTAAGACAAATAACAGTGTCAAAGTTGCTTGATTTTCATACAAATTTAAACGCGCGCGCCACCATTTTCTCATAAAATGACGTCGTGCTGTTCGCTTTGCATAACCTCATCACTCAATCGTGAGTAAGTGTTGCATTTACTAAGAGCGCACAGCGTTGCCAGACTGTTCCAAAAGCTTTTGTGTAGTTGCAGTGAAATTTTAAAATTTGTACTAACTGTTCTAGTCTGTGTTATACGTGTGAGATGTGAAGCCGCCACTCGTCAGACATGTAGTAGATATGTATATTTTTAAATGTCACTCTCTCATCTCTCTCCCTCTGCCCATCTTGCTAATGAATTCTCTGTGGAGCAGTAAACAACGCTCACTGGGGAGATGAAAGTGTATGTGTGTGCTAGCGCGTGTGTGTGTGTGGTGAGGCGTAGCAGAATTTAAAGACGCTTATTCAGTTGTTTTCAGCCTGTTGCGTACGTCGGTTGTGCATTTAAGTCGAGAATTACGATCAGTTGCGGTACGAATTTGGCTGAAGCTCAAATAACAATAAAGTCAAACATTTTAAAATGAAAATCGAGCTAACCGTCGATCGTGGACCATGCGACACAGAGCTGCGCAGCTGGTGTTTGGGCATAGCCATCTATACGCTAGTTTCCATAGCATTAAATACGCTATTCGCGCCCAGTGGTAAGTGAAATTCTTATTGGAAATGCTTTTCGAGTTCATTTTTATAAGTGTGTGAGAGTGAGTTAGAATGTGTTTGTCTGTTTTGGTTTTTGTTATGTTTAGCCGTTCCCACATTTTTGAAATGTATGCATGTATACGTACGTATAAAGATACATATAATTATTTATACATGTATGCATGTATATATGTAGATATACGTAAATATAAAGAATGAGCTAATACTTCTCTATACAAGGCTTTTCGAAACGTGTTCTCAACGACGAGGGCGAGCGTTGATTTTTGTATTTTTTCATTCAGTTTATGTTTTGTTGTTTTTGGTTTTTTGTTTTTGAATTACATAGATAGTTTGGAATTTTTGTGCAAGTCTGTCGCCAAGTTTTAAATACAATGATGATCACACAGAGAGAGATTAATTCTTATTATTTTCAGCTCTGACTTTTATTGGATTCGCAATTGCGGTCATTGCAAATGTTTGCCTGCTCATTGGCTGTCTGCGGGTAAGTCTATACACTGCATACATATACAGTGTATGTATA